CACTCATGGCCACCCCAGCGTCTACCTGCTGGGCTCCAGCGGTACTTCCACCTCAGCCTTCCAAGTAGCCGGAACTGTAGAGGCGCACTACCACACCCGGCTAATTTTTTTTATTGTAGAGAGGAGGTCTCGCCAAGTTGCCCCGGGCTGGTCTTGAACCCTCAAGCTCAGGCAATCCACCCGGCCTCCCAAAGTGCTGGGATTACAGACTGTGCCACCGAGCCTGGCCATAGTTTAGCTCTTAGCTCTTCACGTACACTTGGCCGGGTGCGGTGGATCACATCTGCAGTCCGGGCTCTTTAGGAGGCTGAGGTGAAAGGGTCACCTGAGCCCAGAGGGTCAAGGCTGCGAGGAAGTATGATCATATGATCAGGCCACGGCACTCCGGCCTGAACAACAAAGCAAGACTTTGTCACTTAAGAAAAAGAAAGAGGCCGGGCTCGGTGGCTCAGCCTGTAATCCCAGTACTTGGGGAGGCCGAGGTGAGTGGATTGCCTGAGCCCACGGGTTTGAGACCTGCCTGGGCAGCGAGACCTCATCTCTACAATAAATCAAAAATTAGCTGGGCGTGGTAGCGCGCGCCTGTAGTTCCAGCTACTTGGAAGGCTGAGGAGGAAGGATTGCCGGAGCCCAGCAGGTCAAGGCTGTAGTGGCTGGGAACGGCTACTGCACTCCAGTCTGGGTGACAGAGTGAGACTCCAACTCAAAAAGAAAAAAAGAAAAAGAAAAAGAAACTTCAAGTGATGGTTAAAAGAAAGAAAAAAAATAATGTACAATTCAGAATTACACTGATTAGGTCCAAGTCCTCCATTCTCTACCTTTTAGTAGGGTGAGCTTAATAGTGAATATAACAGCTTAGTGGGACCAACATGGCAGGTGTTTTTGATCAGCAAACTCCCTTCATTCTCATAATAAACCCATGAAAGAAGCAACTTTATTAAACCCATTTTACAGATGTGTAAACTAAGTCACATGCTAGATAAAAACCTAGGCATTCCGGCTTCAAAGTCTATCCTCTTAACCTCTTTTATGAATTGTTTGTGAGAATTAATAGGCTATGCAAGTAGAAACTCAGAGGCATGACTCAGTGCTCAGTAATTAATGACATTTGCTATTACTGTTTATCCTGTTTCCTCTTAATGGAAATAATATTTACCATTTGGAAAGTCACTCACATTTTTCAAAGTACTTTCAGATGAGGTTGGGTGTGTTCAGGGTAGTATGGCCGTAGACACATTTTCCAAAGTACTTTCAAAACCACCATATCAATGTTTCCTGCAACATACCTTAGGAGAGATTGTTAAAAATATAGATTCCTGGACCCCTATCCCATTCAGATGCTTTAGAGCAGTGGTTCTCCAACTTTAGTATTTAGAATCACCTAGAGGGTTACTTAAATCATGGTTGGCTGGGCCTCGCTCTCTGAGTTTCTGATTCAGTAGGTGATTCAGATGCAGCCCGAGATTTTTAACCAGGCCCTACACTGGGAAAGCCACTGCTCCAGGGCACAGAATCTCAAACCTTTCTTTAAAAAAAACCATCTCAACCGGGCTCGGTGGCTCAGCCTGTAATCCCACGCCTTTGGGAGGCTGAGGTGAGTGG